CCCGACACCCACCCACCCGAAAACCGCGGTCGACCCCCCCCTGGAAGACGTCGAACGTGCGTACGGAAGTCCGTACGTACGGCCCGTACGGGCACCCGGGGTCCCGTACGTATGGTCGTACGACCCGTACGGGCACCCGGGGTCCCGTACGTACGGGCGTATACACAGCTTGATGCCACGTCGGAAGGGTTGGAAAAGACCCGGAAGTTTAGAAGGGCCGAGGTATCGACGGATATCGCTCTAATAGCTACCTTGGTAGGAAACCCCCTCCAGGACTTCACTAAAGAAGATTGGAGGAGGGCCAATGAGAGGGCTCGAGACTATCATTGGAACGAGGGCCGGTTAAAAAAATGAAAGACGGACGATAGTGGGATTTGGATGGTAGTGCCGCACCCGTTCATGAGGTATGACTGGGTTAAGACGACGCATGAGGAAACTGCAGCCCATTTTGCCGTCCGAATCACGGAAGCGCCCATCGACAAGAATGAGTGGTATTGGTCCAATATTCATGATGATGTGAAATTCATCATCGCGAACTGTCAGGTCTGCGCCGCGGACAAGGCGCCGATTCAGCCGCCAAGATCGATAGTGCCGACGGTAGTCGAACGGCCTTTTCAAAGGGTTAGCATGGATACTACCGATGTTGTGGTGCCCCCTGAACCTAATAGCTGCGAGTATTCAATCCTGCTGGTATTCGTATACCACTTTTCGAAATGGATTGAGGCATATCCGTGTCGTACACGACAGACGGCTGAAATTGTGCGATACGTCGATCGTTTTTTAGGGATGCATCAGGACACAGAGGAAATCTTGACCGACAACGGGGTAAAATTCAGAGGGGAAGTTTTAAGGAATTTGGTCGTACATGGCGTCGCCATTCATAACATTGCACCCCACATGTCACAATCTAACGGCCTAGTAGAAAACGCAAATCGGGTGATAAAGACAGCGTTGCGACGAAACATCGCGGCACGGGATCCGAGGCCCTGACCCGACATCGTAGATCACATCTTGGCGGTCCATCGGGGAACGCCTCACGAATCGACGGGCCTTAGCCCCTTCCAATTACGAACCAATAGCGTAGCTTGTGTCTCGATACCGAGACTCCCCGATGAATCCTCGTTGAACCGATGGCCCACAAGAGCCACGGTTCGGGACAAGGCCAAGAGGCACATGGAACTGATGGAACGATCCCTTACCCGATTAGCCCGAAAGCGCGAGAAAATGAATGAGTTGGCCCACGGCCGACAGGTTCGTAGCTACAAGGCCCGAAATGGAAACGCCGGACCACGGCCCCAGTATAAATTAGGGGACCAGGTGCAGGTGAGGAAATATGCTCGCCAAGGGAAGATAGCGCCACAATTCTTCGGGCGATTTCGTATGATCAAACTCGGTCCGAACGGGGTGAACACCGTGCGTCTCGTGCCGGAGGTCTCAAGAAGCCGATCGGCCCGACCGATCGTCCGCCACGTGTCCTATCTACGTCTTCTCCCTTCCTCTCCATCTCCAACTGTGTTTGCTTCCTCCTTCGCTACAGAGGAGGGCGACGACTCTCTATCGCTCTCATCCCCTCCTGCATCTCTCGCCTCTTCTCATACCCGGTCCCCATCGCCATCGCCATGAGTTTCCTCACTAAGCGAGCTCTCGGCGATCACGTGTTGGCGTCACGTGGCGACATTTCGGCAATTCGGTAAGTCCATCACCCGCGATTCAATCCAGATCTTCTACGGCTCACACAGTTCTTCTGTACCACGGGAGTGTACGAGGCGGCAGAGTTCCGATTCACGGGCCATCGTCAAGCGATTGTGCTGGCAGAGGCGTCGGTTGTTCGACAGTTTTCAACGTCGGGAGTTAGCCACGTGTCTACCGTCGTCATCTTCAGCGGTGATATTAGCTAGATCAACCCTCTACGATACACGACCATCCGGACGTCGCTAAGGGAGTGGGCCAGCAGCTGGCAACGGACTGGAATCAGTGGCTTACGCGCCACAGCGACAATCTTGTCCCCACGGACGACATCGAGGTTGGAGGGCTCCGAACGTCTCGACGCGAGCCGGCGGTGGTGCTTCCGGAGCTCGTTCCCTTCCAGCATCCTCAATGAACCGCTCCCAACTCTCTACCTTCACTCTCCCATCTCTCTTCCCTACCTTCTGGCAGTCTGACCTTTGTCCCCGTCTCTCCTTTCGTCTGGAATCACTCGCTGTTCCCCTCCTCGATCGAAGACAGTGGGAACTGTGGTGCGAGCACTTCGTCGACCTTTCGGTGTGTTTGGTCGAGGTGCAGCCGACGTGGACAAGGGACATAGAGCACCGCGCCTGGATCGAATACGTGGAACTATTGATCATCCAAGCTTGGAGGACGGAGGTGGAAGGAGACCTTCTCGGGTTTCTATCCATATCGGTGCGGCCCGGGCATCGACAGCTGATCGTACAGGAGCTCACGATTCCCCTCGCGCAGCTGGTCGACGATTTCCCTCTCGATATCATTTCACAGTGCGACGAGAGCCCGGTCCTGCATGTCCTTTCACGAACCCTGACGCCCTATCTACAGTGGTCGGCCTGCCTCGAGGAGCAGGGAGTTAACAACAATCCGCCATCGCAACAAGACTACCTGAACCCGTGGAGGATCATCGACCTCGCCTTCTTTCAGCCTCGAACGGCCTCCGAAGACGAAGAACTAACGCTAGAGGAGGAAAAAGAAGAGGGCGTAGAGGAAGGCGACGAGGAGGAAGAAGAGGAAACCCCGGAAGAAGGAAGTTACAGTGAGCATAGCGAGGGAGAACAAAGCGAAGAAGAAGAAGAAGAAGAGGACGAGGAACAAGAGGAGTCTGAGTGGGAAAGCATGGGCGAGAAAGCGGGCGAGGAGGAAGATCTCGAGGCGGCAGCACGACGCAGAGAAGAGATCGCGGCCGGTACTAAGCAGCCGCTAGAGTACGCAAGTGGGACGGATCTGCCCATCTCGGACAATCCAGCCAAGGACCCGGAGCCACCCAAGCCAGAGGATGGGGACCTTGTTGCCGAGACTTCGAGCGCACCGGCCCAACGGCGACGAAGTCGATCCCCCTCCCCCTCCACCTCCGCCCGTCCACCAGTTCGAGCTCGTACCGACGCGGGGCATAGGGCTTCGTCCCCCGTCCTTATCCCGTCGTTCCCTTGACCACCTCACCCTCCGCCAGATCACAACCCGCATCACCTTCCCCTGCAATCCCTTCCCAATGGACACCTTCTGCTTTTTCTACGCCATCCGTCTTGCTGTCACGATTCATCCCCACCCCTCTACCCGGTGTGCCACCCCCGTCTTCTGTCTCCACGCCCTTCTCCTTTGTGCCGCGTGGCGAAGCCACAACATCATCGAGGTTTACTGCATGATCACGAGGACTATCCCCTCATGCGAAAACCACGACCACTTCCGCACGACGCTCTTCCGAACTTTTACCACCCTCTACCCCGACTATCTCGCATCCCTTCCTCATAGTGGTAATCGATTCCCTCGCTTCCACAGGATCATCCGATATCAGGAGCTTCCGGTGGCAGTCGCGGGGTTGGAACGTTTTCTACCTCCACTCCCGACTATCCCACCCCCTCGCCATTCCCCCATGTATCGTCTTCCCTTTCCCCTTCCCTTAGGTCATTGATGCACGGTTGATTGGCACGTGTCACGACGATGGCAAACACGATCCCCTCCTTGGAATGAAGAGAGCCCATCCTGAGGAAATTGTAGGATAGAGCCACGTGTGCCACCCTGGATGACGTCCACACTCTTATCAAACGGTAAGTGGCAACAAAGAAGGCTCCACGTGTCGATCGATTAGAGAGATCGACATGTGTCATGATTCAAGCAAGTGGGAGCTTGCTTAAGATTGGAACGCCCTGGGCATCGCATATGTGACAAACCAATTTCTGTCCTGTGCAATTTTCTGCGCGATGACAATAAGGGGTCATGAGATGGGAATAATGGGCCAATTACGGGAGATCGGGATCGAAGGGAAATTGCATCAATGTCCTCGCTTCTTCGCATTTTCGCTTTCGTGGCTCCTTTTCGGATGGCTGGGTTCAGGGCCGGGCAAGTCCCGAGATGGCTGATTGAGTGGCTATCGCGCCGACAAAGGCGCGATTAATAATGTTTGACGTCGCTTCTTTCTTATTCTGTTGCCGGATTTTAGGAGCGGAGGTCGGGCGAGAAGTTTTGCTTCTTTTTGAATTTCTTTTTTTTGAATCTTGTCGAGCCTTTTCGGCTCTCGGAATTTCGGACTTTCTTTTCGGAATTTGCGTTCTATTTCTTTTTGCAATAAGTTAGGAATTTAGGAATTTAGGAATGTGGGAATTCGGGATTTCCTTTGCCGCGCGTTGTCTTTCTTGCGGAGCTCTGATTAGTCGGCGCCCTTAATCTCGTGCGTAACTACAATTTTTGGGCAGGCGCCATTGTAACTTTATCTCCCTTCTTGAGCTTCGTCTTTCCCGCCCTCTCCTTTTCTTTTTTTGCTGTGGATGTCTAACCCGCGGGCTGCATGATCGGATCGATGCGTGGAGAGTGGCCACGTCCCACACGCCGCGGTCTGGCCATGCAGAACGTAGGCGATCCCTCTCCTAATCTCCTTTCTAAGTCCTTGCAATTCCGTGTTCTTCGCGCTTGCATACACGCTATAAATTTCGGCTGCACGATTAGATAGCTCTCTTAACCAGTTGTTGGAAGCTCGGGGTAGCGCGATCAGTGAGGGTCCACTCACGAGCGAAGTAAGAGGTGAGTTGAAGTGGGAGTCGGGCGACCCGACGAGCTGGTGCCGAATGCGCAGGGTTGACGCGTGGGGCTACGACGGACTGTAGCGCGCGGGCGAACCTGACGGGTGCAGGAGGACTAAGCGGGGTGACGACTTCGTGGGTTGGTGCGTGACGACGGACTGTCCGCATTGGAGAGAGAGAGAGAGA